AGATGTAGGTGATGGGGAGGAAGGCAGCAAATCACACTGCCACGTGTGTTCCTATGCAACAATTTTGCATGTTCTTCACATGTACCCCAAAACCTAAAATGCAATAAAATAAATGGGGAAAAAAAAAGAGGTTTGTTCATTAATAATACATTTAGTAGATACATTTGGACATATTTAATTCCTTTAGTTGTCTTGTTGGATTTGTACCTCAGATGCTGTCTTGGTGAGGGTATCAAATATGCCAGTAAGAGTTTAACTTTGAGACAGTGAAAAAAAGAGTAGGAGGAAATCAGCCTAGAAATGGAAAGGGATGGAATATAAACAGCTTTAATAAGTTACACATTTTCAGAACTAGTTGGGTGTCTGATTGACATAATATACACATTTTTTGTTATTATTGACTTCACCATACATGGAGATCATTTAGTGTTGGTTTTTCGCAGACCTACCTTTTTCACGGTAATGAATAAAGAGTATAGCAATTCTTTTCATCCTGTTCTTCTGTTCTCCAGTCCTTTTGTTCTCTTAACAGCTTTCATTGTTAAATGCATAATGAAGGTTTAATCATGCATTGACAATATATGGTATGATACTCTCATTCTCTTGCCATTCCCAATTCTTTTTTTTTTTTTTTTTGGAGACAGTCTGGCTGTGTTGCCCAGGATGGTGTGCAGTGGTGTGATCTTGGCTTACTGCAGTCTCTGCTTCCTCCTGGGTTCAAGCGATTCTCCAGCCTCAGCCTCCTGTGGAGACAGTCTGGCTCTGTCGCCCAGGCTGGGGAGCAGTGTGGCGCATACTCGGCTCACCGCAAACCCTGCCTTGCGGGTTCAAGAGATTCTCCTGCCTCTGCTTCCCCAGTATCTGGGATTACAGGCATGTGCCACCATACCTGGCTAATTTTTGTATCTTTAGCAGAGCCAGGGTTTCATCATGTTGGCCAGGCTGGTCTCGAACTCCTGGCCTCAGGTGATCTGTCCGCCTCAGCCTCCCAAAATGTTAGGATTACAGGTGTGAGCCACTGTGCTGCGCCTGGCCCCATTCACAATTCTTAAACTAACTCTTATAAAAGATGTCCTCCATTCATGCCCCACCCCCACCCATATGAAAATCATGATCTTAAAAGAATGATCACTATTAAGGAACTGCTGCTCCCCCCACGCTTTTTTTTTCTCTTAAGACAGTCTTGCTCTGTTGCCTAGGCTGCAGTGCAGTGGCGCAATCTCGGCTGACTGCAGCCTCCACCTCCCAGGTTCAAAGAATTCTCCTGTCTCGTCCTCCCAAGTAGCTGGGACTACAGGTGCATGCCACCATGCCCGGCTAATTTTTGTATTTTTGGTAGAGACAGGTTTCACCATGTTGGTCAAAATGGTCTCAAACTCCTGACCTCAGGTGATCTATCCTCCTTGGCCTGATCTGTCTGCGCCTGGCCCGATGCTCCCTTTAAAATGTAATGTAATAACGGCATTGTGGTTGTACTTTTAAAACAAATCCTAATCTCAGTAAATATTCATGGTTAAAGTGATTTTTTTTTTGGTCATGATGTGGATCAAACTAATGCTAGAGTATAAGACAGTGGGTGAGGGTATAGATAAAATAAGATAGGAAGTGAATTATTATCTAAACTGTAGATTGTGTACATGGGTTATCTATTCTCTACTGTATTTAAAATTTTACATAAAAAATGAAATTTTTTAATGGGAAGTAATTCTATTAACTTGGTAGAGACATATTAGGTATTTTTAAAATAATGTTTCTAATATTGTATTTAAGAGGGTTGTATTTGGACTTAAGAAATCTATCGAGTCTTTGAAATCATAAAAAGATGTTTTATATCAATAAGATAATGAAGCCAGAAATTTAGAAATGCCTAGTAGACTTAGCTGTGAGTTACAGGTATACTTAGAACAATAATTATGTGCATTTTAAGGAGAACATTTTTTGAGGGCAGAATTTAAAAAATGCTATAAAACAGTAGTGGTTTTTTAATTAGAAATACATTAGCTGGTAATAACCATATATCTTAATTGCTGGCTCTTTGTTGTAGGAAGATGAAACTGTTGGCACAAGTGATGCTTCGGTAGAGGATCCCGTTGTTGAATGGCAAAGTGAAAGTTCTTCCAGGTAGTTTTAATTTGGCCAAAATTATTGAATAGTTTTATGTTCTTGTAGGAATTTGGCAATATCAGAATTAAAATGGTGTTTTATAGTAGAAAAGGTACTGGCTGGAAACCTAAAGACCTGATGTGATCCTGGCTCTCCCAATATCTTTCTGATGTCATTGTGAGCCTTTTAGTTCCTTCAACTATAAAATAAACTTATTTTTAAATCCAAGATTCTACATCTTGGCAATTATACTCACCCTCTGCATGATGTTTCAGTCAATGACAGAATGCATTATGGCTGTGGTCTCACAAGATTGTAATGAAGCTGAAAAATTTCTGTCACCTAGTGACATCCTAGCCATTGTAATACTGTAGCACAAAGCATTAGTCATTTGTTTGTAGGGATGCTGTTGTAAATCAACCTGCTGCATTGCCAGTCATATAAAAGTTTTGCATATACGTTTATCTATAGTATATAGTACTTAATAATCAACAACTATGTTACTAGTTTTTCCATTTACTATGCTGTACTTTTATATTATATTTTTCTTCATTTTATTTTTTATTCTTTTAGAGATGGTGTCTGGCTATGTTGCCCAGGCATGCCTTAAACTCCTGGGCTCAAGCAGTCCTCCCACCTCAGCCTCCTGAGTAGCAGGGTGTACAGGTACACACCAGTATGCTGTTTTTGCTATACTTTTTGTTGTTATTTTAGAGTGTACTCGTCCTATTTGTAATAAATTATTAGTGTAAAATAGCCTCGGACAGATCCTCCAGGAGATATTCCAAAAGGAAGCATTATTATCATCAGAGATAAAAGCTCCGTGTGTTATTGTCTCCAAATACCTTCCAGTGGAAGAGGAAACTATGTGGAGGTAGAAGACAGTAATCATCAGAATATTCTGATGATCTCAACTCTCTGTAGGCTCAGGCTAATGTTTGTGTCTTAGTTTTTAAACAAAGTTTTAAAATAGGAAAAAATGTTTAAGCTTTGAAAATAGAAAATACCTTACAGAGTAAGGATATAAAGAAAAAAAAATTGCCCAGTGCCATGGCTCATGTCTATAATCCTAGCACTTTGGGAAGCCGAGGCCGGCAGATCACCTGAGATCAGGAGTTCGAGACCAGCCTGGCTGACATAGTAAAACCCCATCTCTATGAAAAATACAAGAATTAGCCTAGTGTGGTAGTGGACACCTGTAATGCCAGCTACTCGGGAGCCTAAGGCAGGAGAATTGCTTGAACCCAGCAGGTGGAGGTTGTAGTGAGCCAAGATTGTGCCATTGAACTCCATCCTGGGTGACGAGAGCAAAATTCTGTCTCAAGAAAAAAAATAAAAACAAGAAAGAAAAAGAATTATACAGCTGTACAGTGTGTTTGTGTTTTAAGTGTTATAAAAATCTCAAAAAAAAAGCTAAAAGGTATAAAATAAAAATGTTACAGTAAGCTAAGATTAGTTTCTTGTTGAAGAAAGAAAAATACTTTTTAAATTTCATGTAACCTAAGTGTAGTGTTTGTAAAGTCTTAAGTAGTATACAGTAATGTCCTAGGTCTTTGCATTCACTCACTATCACTCACTGTGATTCACCTACAGCAACATTCAGTCCTATGAACTCCATTCATGTTAAGTGCCCTATGTAGGTATACAATTTTTGAAATCTTTTACACCATATTTTTACTATACCTTTTCTATGTGTAGATATGTTGAGATCCACAAATGTTTAGTATTGTGTTAAAATTGCCGACAGTATTCAGTACAGTCACATGCTGTACAAATTGCAGCCTCGGAGCAATAGGCTCTACTATGTAGACTAGCTGTGTAGTAGGCTACACTGTCTAGGTTTGTATAATTACACTTTATATGATCTTCACACAGTGACAAAATTACCTAATGATGCATTTCTCTGAAAGTATCTCCTTTGTTAAGTGACCCATGACTGTATATGTATTTATTTCAGTTTTAAAACAATTCCATTTCAGCACTTCTAAGAATAAGATGCGTCTTTATTAAGATTTGGGATTTTGGACAGGGATTTTAATTCCTGTTATAGGAAACTAAGCATTATAATTATAATATAATTATGATCCCTTGAAGCATTTCATTAAAATTACATAATTATCAAAATTCTATATAGTTTTTTTTTTTTTTTTTTGAGACAGAGTGTCACTCTCACCCATGCTGGAGTGCAATGGTGCCATGTCTCAGCTCACTGCAACCTCCGCCTCCCAGGTTCAAGCGATTCTCCTACCTCAGCTTCCCGATTAGTTAGGGACTACAGGCATGTGCCACCACACCCAGCTAATTTTTGTATTTTTAGTAGAGATGGGGTTTCACCACGTTGACCAGACTAGTCTCTGGTCTTGAACCCCTGATCTTGTGATCTGCCCACCTTGGCCTTCCAAAGTGCTGGGATTGCAGGTGTGAGCCTCCACATCTGGCTTTTTTTTTTTCTCTTACGTTAGAACAAAATCTAGCCATGTGATTTATAATGCTTTTTGATTACAGAATGATCTTTCAGTTATTAAGTAAAACTATTCCTTTCCTATACTTAGGTATTCATAATTTTTATTTATTTACAGTGATTCATCAAGTGAATATTCTGATTGGACAGCAGATGCTGGAATAAATTTACAACCCCCAAAAAGACAAACCAGACAAACAACACGAAAAATATGCAGCAGCTCTGATGAAGAAAATTTGAAGTCCTTAGAAGAAAGACAAAAGAAACCTAAGCAGACTAGAAAGAAGGTTTGTAACTTTATAGGTTATTTTGTTTTTGTTATTTTTTTGATTTTTTTCTTTGATACTTAAACATTTAACAGTAACATTGACTTTTCTCTAGAAATAATATTTCATCCGAGAAAGTAAGTAAAAGTAGTTTGACTTCAAAATGTAAAGAATTTTTGAAATTTTTCTGTTATCAAAGGTAGAGGCTAGAATGTTTCATTATAATTTGTTATTCAAACATATTCACAATCATATTAAAATGTGGCAATGTCCTAAAATAAACTACTGTCTTAAAAAGTTATTATTATTGTCACCTTTATCAGACAACATTATTATTCTTGTCATGTGAGATTTTGAGTCCTCATTTTTACCATTTTTAACTTGTAACATGGAAGAGTATGATAAATTGTATAGGACTGTCCTTCGATTCCACTGTATTTTTTGGTGTCTTTATTAAAGAGATGGGGTCTTGTTATGTTGCCCAGAGTGGAGTGCAGTGGCTATTCACAGTCATCATCGTAGCACACTGCAGACTCAAACTGAGGCTCAAGCAATCCTCCCACCTCAGCCTCCTGGTTAGCTGGGAGTACTGGTGTGTACCACTGTGCCTGGCTTACCATTATGTTTTTATTTCATCCCAATGATAGTTTCTTTTCCTCACTGTAAATTCATTCAGGTGATTTAAAGACTTGATTTACGTAGTTGTTTTAATTTTAATTTCAAAATTGATTATAGACACATTCTGTAGTCTTTTGCTTTAGTAGACATAATTATTTTCTTGATTATCACTATTTTATCGGCAAAAACTTATTGCATTTGAATTCATGTGGTAGTCAAGAGACATGTAAAAGTTACGATTTTTAGGTCGTATATAGTGTCACTTTATTACCTGTCAGTTAAAATTTTGCAACCTAATTTTTTTACTGGCACAAAGTTGTATGTAATAAAGCAAAATTGTTCTCATTTATATACTTTAGGTTTCATTGTAACCTGAAATTTTTAATCTTCTCTACCTACTATTTTTCATACTATTGTTCATGTGTTTTATGGATTGGAGAGCTGTGTTTTAAATTAAACTGTTCATGTATTTATGTTTCAGAAAGGAGGGCTGGTTTCTATGGCAGGTGAGCCTAATGAAGAATGGTTTGCCCCTCAGTGGATCCTGGATACTATACCCCGACGTTCCCCATTTGTCCCACAAATGGGAGATGAGGTAATTGTTAGCTGTTATAACATTTTTCTGTGGAGCCTCAAGAGCACTAACTTTAATCAGTCTTAAGATATTTATATTCCTAATTCTATTATAATAATACATACAATGTCTTAGCTGCTCTGCTCGATTATATACTTCTTGTGGAAGGTGACTGAATCGTATTAATCTTTGTATCCTTTGTAAGGCCTGGAACAGTAGCTTCAGTGTATTGGATCCTCATTGAATATTGAGATAAATTGATGACCTTGTGAAGTCATGAAAATAATTGGCTTTATTTTAATCTGAAATACCACTTACTAGAATTGAGTGGTATTTAGAGTCGTCATTCATGTCCAGTATTGTTTTTTAAAATAAAGTTCAGCCTGATAGAAAGTATGCAAGAAGGCCGGACATGGTGGCTCAGACCTATAATCCCAGCACTTTGGGAGGCCGAGGCGGGTGGATCACGAGCTCAAGAGATCGAGACCATACTGGTCAACATGGTG